ATTCTTGTGTATCATGATTCTGAATTTTGCATTTTCTTCATGCTTATTGCTTGGTAAAAAGGTTGAATTGTTATCAGTGAACTGATCTTAAAATTGAATTTACAGCTGTTTTCATAAACTCTGAGACATCTGGCAAAAAATTGATCAGCTGAATATTTGCCGATTCGATACATTTGTGACTTTGGTAATGATTACTGCCAAATTACAAATTATCGAATCGGCAAATATTCAGCTGGTCAATTTTTTGTCAGATGCAGTATTATAGGCTAAAAGATTATTAAAAAAAAAATTGCAGAAAGATTACAATTTTTTGCTAAAGCTAATGATAAAAGAAAATATAGAGTAGAAGACTCATTATTGGTTTGAGTACTGTGTAATTCTGGTGTCTCTTCACTTTGTTGAACATACATTTGCTCATCCTGTATTGTGCCTCCATCTTGAGATTTATTACTATTACTACTTTTGTGCCTCTATCTTGAGATTTATTACTATCACTACTTTCGTGCTCATCAAAAATGAATTTTGTAAAATATGATATTGATCCTGAAAATAATCTACATCTATAAGTCTCAAATCTTCTACAGTGTCTTGTTGCATTCCATATAAAGGTTCAAGAATCTCTTCTGAACCTGTCTGTATATTATTGTTATCATTCTCTAAATCTTTATCTGATTAATATATAATCCATTCATTTCTAGAAATATATATAACCAATATCATAAGCTGATAACATTTCTTCATTATCAATTTCTTGACCTAACTGTTTCTTATTATTAAAGAATACTATACAAGGTGCTTCAAAATTGTTAAATGGATGATTAGAAACAAACTCCTACCAATAAATAACAATAGCATCAATAATTTTATTAACATTAGTTTTCCCTTCTGCATGAAGTTTGTTAAGTAATGCTTCTAAACTGGAACAGTATTCCTGTTGTTCAATGGGAGTATATCTTTCATAGTATGAAGATATGTTAGAAATCAATTCTTCATCTAAATAATTGATGGTAAATTAAGAAAATTCAATTAGCTTTTAGTAAAAAGAATTGTTATCATTGATATTAATTTAATGCTCATCTGAAGGTCTCGCCAATGTTGTGATGTGCACTTATTATCATTACAATGACCACAGCTTTGTGACTCAAACACACACATCTTACAATCAACATTATAGTCACAACTATATATAGTTAATTTATAGATATGTTTTCTGATTTCTTGTTTGTAACATAGATGAAATCTATATGATCGAAATCCCTTAAGTATACTATTGTAAGGTACAAAAGATGAATTACTCTGTTCTTGTGGCTGTCTAAAAATATAACATATAAGTGTGATAATAAGCTGCCGATTTAGTTGAATAGTAAAATCTCAACAACTATCTTTTAAACCACCATAATTATTATTGCTTCAAGAATTGCTTCTACTATGATTTTAATAGTCACTATCATTGTTACCCTTAGGTTCGCTCTTTATATAAGGATTGTTGAGAGAAAAGCGAACTTTTGAGCTTTTTGACCCATTTGATAAGATGCTTGATTGCATAAATACATAGCTTTAGCAATCCCAAATTTATAATTTCATCCTATAAATATATATAAAAAAAAAATTTACCTTTCAATAAAGTGGCTCATAAAACTCAATATTTGAAAACAAGAAAGTGCTGATAAACCCGTAATTGAAATCGTGAGAACTATACAATTTGTGTGATCATATTTTAATCCTAGTGAAATATCACACCAAGTCCAGTAACGTCTGATTGCCTTATACTTTTGTTCATAGACACTCTGTAAAGAGAAGTTATAATAGTTTAGTGATTAAAGTTATTGTTAAAATGTATATACAACTAAATCTAAAAAAAAACAAGTACATTACATTCTTCTGTCTTGTGAAATTTGTTGAATACATATTATTTTGAATTTTCTGTTGATAAGCTATATAATATTACAGTAAATATATAAGTTAAGTTATCATATCTTATCTAAACATAAAAGACTCAAATAGCACCAAACTGCGCATACAATATGTTATATATTTTGAACCAGTAAAAAGCATTCAACTATAGAATTTAATCTAATTGATCATGAATACTATATACATATAATTAAGAAACAAGATTATAAACACCCACCCTTATTTATCCAAATAAATATAACTCTACTTAAGCTTATTGAAAAAGTATAAATCTATTTTATACGAAGTTTTTTGACTTTTCATATTTCCGATAAGTCACTATAAGTATAAAAAAGCATTCTGTTTTCATATTCAATAATTTCCTGAATTGCTGATTTTCTTTTTGATAAATGACCTCCATTTTTAAGAGTTTTTCGAAAAAATGCTGATACTTGAATGTGATTTTTTTTCTCTACTGCATTACACAAAAAACTTCCTAGTTCCCATTTTGAGTGTTTTTTAAGCAGTTTCCATCTGTGATATACCAAAGCATAGATATAAGGGGTTACTTGGCTTGGCATATATAAACCTTGTAAAAGGTTTTATTATTTAATGGATCGCCTTGAGAAGGTTTTAAAAATAGCATAAGCCAATCATATGCTTGTTGTTTAAATTGTTGCAGATCTGTTAAAGGATTAAGCATTGCTTTGTATAGATTATAAAATTCATCCCAAAGTTGATGTAATATGCGAGCTCAAGAGGATTGAAAAAGTAAATTTAAATTAAATTCATTTAAAACCTT